GGAGTCCTGGGATCGAGTCCCGCATCGGGCTCCCTGCTCGGCGGGGAGCCTGCTTCTCCCTCTGACCCTCCCCCCTCTCATGTGCTCTCTCATTCTCTCAAATAAATAAATAAAATCTTTAAAAAAAAAAGAAAAGGTTGAGTAATTTACTAGTGAATGGCAGAGATAAGGTCTGAAATGGGTCTGTCTGGCCCAAAGCCCATACACTATCCACTCTCCTTCAGGCCTCCCTCCCCTGGGACAGGGCGGACCCACAGTTCCACCTCCAACACCATCCCAGGAGATAATCTGCATAAATAGCCCCACACCCTCCGTCTGTCTACAGGCAGGAAGGCCTGACCGGAAGAACTCAGACTCTGAGCTAGACTGCTAGGTTCAAATCCCAGTTCCATCAGTTAACTCTGGGACCTGGACAGGTCATTAACCTGTCTGAGATTGTTTCCTCAGGAAGTACATGGACATATTACTAGCAGCCACCCCAGGGTGTGGTGAGGATTAAAGGAGACAAGGCAAGCAGAGCACCGCAGTGCCTAGTACTAGTTAGCGCCTGCTGATACTGTGGCAAACTCCTGGAACTAATTGCTGGAAATAATGGACCAGAAATATGTGTAATGAGTGACTGTGAAAGCAAGACTAGCCTGGGACAGAGGAAAAAGAGGTGACAAAAGTTGGTGAGCCTGGCTGGCAACTGAGGAAAAGAGGGAGAAGGCAGGGAGGCAGGAATGGGGGCTGGGGTTCATGGGGAGCTGGGTGGAGGACAACGTAGGAAGACAGAGGCTACCCTGTGGGCTGATAACCTGGCCTCCAGCTGTAGTGGCAACAGGCAGGGGAGCCTGGCTCCAGAGCAAACACTGTTTTTGCAGTAAAGAGCCTTTCCTAATGAGCCAATCTGTCTCCACTTCTATTGGCATCCTGGGAACCAGGGTGCAGCAGAGATAATTTGCCTCACGCGCCCTCCCCCCCAACAAAGCACCATTACCTCCAACCCATTACATTAGCCTTTATCAGTCTTGGAAGCTCTCAGTCATCCTCCATGAGCTGCAATAATTTCAGCTAATTTCTTAAGTGTTCTAAGAGCCTGTGATGTGTTATGAGCCTAGTAATTGTTGACTGTTTCCTTTTCTGTTGTGGGTTGATTTCATACCTTGTATCCGAGCTGATGCGTGCTCTGGGTGCTTTATTACAATGAAGCTTTTTGCAAGGCTCACATTAAAAAATAACACTAAATACTGAGGTTGTTTTAAATCAGAGTTTAATTTTTCCACCATCTCCCGTTGTTCTTATTAGGAAGGCACGCAATTCTTCATAAAGATAGTGACCTCCAGTGTAAAGGTTTGAGCAAGTACAAAATTGAGAATTAATGATGAAGCCGATTATTTTTAGAGAAGTCTAAAAATGAGGCATAAAGTAATGAACTGTGCTGAGACCCAAGGGTGCAATGGTCATGGCTTAGAGAGGCTTGGAAAATTGACTGTGCTTTCTCCATGCACCTTTTATTCATCAGAGCCTCCTTGCTCTCTAGGGGGCCTTTTCAGACCCAAGGTGGCTGACCAGCCCCAGAAAAGCTTCCTGGGGGACCAGGAACATGCCTGCTAGTACCGCCCACCCCTGTGCCCGTCACTGTGTGTCGCCATTTACCCCTTCAGCCTAGTGGCCCCTCTCAGATAAAGGGCACAATTCAACTGTTGGTCATCCTGGGCCATAGAAGATACCAGGAATCAACACAGGATCTGGTTTCTGTGTGGAAAACCACCCTGAAATTCACTCTTTAACCTGTTATGCAGCTATATGACTGGCTCCTGTTTAGATAAGCTTCTAAAGTCTATTGGCATCTTCTTGTCAGCGGTGAGCAGGTGAGTTCTATTTCTAGAGAGATTCTGGGGTCTCAGTTGCATATGGGGCTCATGGTATCCTTGGCATTCACACCACATGGGACTACCGTGTTTTCTATCACACGGGTAGAAATCTGTATTTTAAGCCTGGCTAGGGGGCGCCTGGGGGGCTCAGATTTCGGGTAAGCGTTTGCCTTTGGCTCAGGTCATGATCTCCAGGTCCTGGGATCGAGTCCCACATTGGGCTCCCTGCTCAGCAGGGAGTCTGCTTCTCCCTCTTCCTCTGCCTCTCCCCACTGCTCCTGCTCTCTCTCTCTCTCTCTGTATCTCTCTGTCTCAAATGAACAAATAAAAAATTCTTTTAAAAAAAGCCTGGCTAGATCCAGGGGTTCAAAAAATGTCATCAGTACTTGGTCTCTCCCTCTCTCTTCTCCATTTCTCAGCTCTGTTCCCCTCTGTATTCTTTGGTCTCCATGTGCTATGGCCCTCAGAAGCTCCAGACATGCATCCTGCTTGCTCAGCCACACCCAAAAGAGAGCATATCTTTGCCAGGGGTTCCCAAGAAAGCCCCAGGTGTTGAGCCTCATTGGACCAACTGAGGTCACATGGCTAGTCCCAACCAATTACTGCAGTCAGAATGATGGCATGCCTTGTAACTCGCTCACCCTGCCAAAACCACACGGCCCATGAGTGGCAGAGGGGTGATTCCCCAAGGGATAGTTGAGGTGCTATTTCAAGAAGAAGAGGAACAGAGTCTGGCAAACTAAACACAAGAAACGTCCAACATATTTAACTTTTGCATTTGCTGCTAGAAGGAAGAACTTCCAAATTATTGTGTCACTTTGCCCATGAACACTTCCTGGATAGGAGGGCAAAGTATGAGAAGAAAGGACCTCGAGATCTCTTAGGAAGGTGAGTGCCAAGGAACATGACAAGTGTCTTATTTCTACTCTGGTATTCCCCTGGACAGTAATCGGTACCTTAGAGAATTTCTGGAAGTTGGAGGCGTCCTAACACTCTTGGAAATACTTGGGCTGGAGAAGATCAGGGAGGAGGACAAGAAGGAATCCATCAAGCTACTTCAGGTTATTGCAAACCATGGCAGGAAGTACAAGGAGCTCATCTGTGAAAGCTATGGTGGGTACTGTGTTACGACGGGGGTGGCGATTCCATGTCTCCCTAGGGGCCTGGGTGAAATGGTGGTGGCACCCAGTACCGCTCTAGGAAAATGTTGCACGGAAGCACTTTGTACAGTGGAGTCAATTAGCTCCTGTCCGTGTCACCACCACGAGAGTCAGATTTATGATTTCCTTGATTCATCATTTGCTCCAATCTTTCCATGGTGGTTTTGGAAATACTTCTACATTTTAAATATATCCTCTTTCATGCATCCATTCAACAAAGATTTATGAAGCCATTGCCTAAAATCCTTTGTGAAATTGAGTTATGAATAACTCTAGAAATAAAATGGAAATAAAATCATTGTCATTCATTGAATATGTGTGATATATGTATATATATCACATATATATATAGTGCTGGGGATACAAAGATGAATAAAATACAGTCCTTATCCTCAAAGAGCTTACAGTGTGGTGTGGTAAGAAGGGTAAACAACCCTGTAATTTCCCTATGTTCCATCAAGTGCTCTGATCGAGGTGGTTGGGGAAGATACCATCCCCCACATGTCCCTTTTTCAAAGCACTTCCCTCCCTGCACTTTTCATCATGGTTCTCCTCTACGTCTCCCCGTGGCCTCTCTGAGCCTCAGTGTATATATCCATTAAATGGGACTAACACCTCCCTCTCAGTATAGTTTCTGGGATTAAATGAGGCAGCCTTTGTTAGAACATTTAGTAAACTACTGAACGCTGCACGTGTTAATGATCATATAGCAATCCCAAACGCGTGTTTAATTGTGCATTTTGCGGAGCCATTTTAAACTTTAGAACAGATTTTGACAAGCTGACGTGCCTGTGTTGAAATCAAATCCTCTGGCCACAGAGCCATGAAGCAAACAAGACAGGGAGGCAGCATGAGAACTGAGCCTTGATTCTGCTTCGCTTGAACGGGCCTCGTTCACACATCTCAGTCGTCCCCTGCCCATATTATGTCATCTTGAGTGAGGATTGTTTTCATAATCCCCTTCTAATTGAGCATTTCCTCTCTTCTGTGCTCAGGTGTACGATCCATAGCAGAATTTTTGGCAAAGTCTAAATCCGAAGAGACCCAGGAAGAAGTGCAGCTTCTGTTGGATTCTTTGGTCCACGGAAACCCCAAGTACCAGAATCAAGTCTACAAAGGTCTAATAGCTTTGCTGTCCTGCGCATCACCAAAAGCTCAGCAGCTGTCCCTGCAGACTCTCAGGACTGCGCAGGTGAGCCCCAGCTGCATGCTCCCGTGGTTCTGATTCAACCCACACACTAACCTTAAAATTACCTACCACGGTTGCACTTCAGACAGGCATGAGAAACAGAGCTCAGCCTCCCACAGCACGTCTGCTGTTCAATGAGTATTACTTCCAGAAGGCCAAGGCGGAGCAAAGAGTTCATGTCGCCCAGCAGAGTGATTTGTCCTGTTTACTTAAGGATCAGAAAGATGTTGGCAGACTTAAAAGTGGTTGAGACAAGCAACAAAGATGATGAAAAGACTGTAGAAAAGCTTACAGGAGTCAATTTGGTAGGGAAGGAATCACGGTGCACTTGTAGACAGCGCAGGAGGGAAAGGCCAGATCGCCAGGGCTTGGGAAGGCTCCTCCTCTCCTCCTGGCTTCTGCCTTCCTCTCAGTGCCCTGGAATGTGAGTGGGATCCGATTTGGGACATGGTGGCCGCCTGAAGACACCGCGCTGGTGAGGAGGGAAGAGAGGCTCCAAGAGTGGTCTTGAGATAAATTAGCAAAAGCTCTCATAACAGCTCCACTCTGGGTGGAGGCAGGGAGACAAGAGGTCGAAGGGATGGTGAGGCCTGCCCTGGGGCAGGGGGAACAGAGGCGACTGGGTCAGACGGACATTTCTGAGGCGGAGCGCGTGGGACGTGGGGCAGTAAAAGAAAAGCAGGCAAAAATGACAGCCAGCTTTGGACTTGGCAGCAGGCTGAGCTGTGTGCCACCAGGAGAGAGCAGGGAAAGATCGATCAGATTTGGGAAGAGTTAGGTTTTGACTCAATGAGACTTGGTGGCTCCCAAGTGCCATCTAAGGAGCAGGCCCAGCTGGCTGCAGAGGACATAAATAGGTCATTTGTGTAAAAAACAAAACAGGGCGCCTGGGTGGCTCAGTTGGTTAAGCGACTGCCTTCGGCTCAGGTCATGATCCTGGAGTCCCGGGATCGAGTCCCGCATTG